GTTAAATTAGTTGTTGTTGTTGTTGTTAGTCGCGAAGTCATGTCCGACCCATCGCGACCCCATGGACAACACTCCTCCAGGCCTTCCTGTCCTCCACCTTCCCCCGGAGTCCACCTAAGCTCACACCGACTGCTTCAGTGACTCCATCTAGCCACCTCATCTTCTGCCATCCCTTTCTTCTTTTGCCATCTATTGTTCCCAGCATTAGGCTCTTCTTCAGTGAGTCCTTCCTTCTCATTAGGTGGCCAAAGTATTTGAGTTTCATCTTCAAGATCTGGCCTTCTAAAGAGCAGTCAGGGTTGATCTCCTCTAGGACTGACCGGTTTGATCGCCTTGCGGTCCAGGGGACTCGCAGGAGTCTCCTGCAGCACCACAATTCAAAGGCCTCAATCCTTCAGTGCTCAGCCTTCCTTATGGTCCAGCTTTCACAGTCATACATTGCAACTGGTAAAACCGTAGCCTTGACTATACGCACTTTTGTTGCAGGGTGATGTCTCTGCTTTTTAGTATGCTGTCTAGATTTGCCATAGCTTTTCTCCCCAGGAGCAAGCGTTTTTTAATTTCTTGGCTGCAGTCCCCATCTGTGGTGATCTTGGAGCCCAGGAAAATAAAATCTGTCACTACCTCCATTTCTTCCCCATCTATTTGCCAGGAAGTGAGAGGACCGGATGCCATGATCTTAGTTACCTTAATGTTGAGTTTCAAGCCAACTTTTGTGCTCTTCTCCTTCACGTGCATCAAGAGGCTCTTTAGTTCCTCTTCACTTTCTGCCATGAGAGTGGTATCATCTGCATATCTGAGGTTGTTGATATTTCTCCCAGCAATCTTAATTCCAACTGGTGATTCATCTAGCTCTGCCTTTCTCATGATGTGCTCTGCATATAAGTTAAATAGGCAGGGCGACAGTATACAGCCTTGCCGAACTTCTTTCTCAATTTGGAACCAATCAGTGGTTCTGTGATCAGCTCTCACTGTTGTTTCTGGACCCACATATAGGTTTCTCAAGAGACAAATAAGATGGTCAGGTACTCCCATCTCTTTAAGAACTTGCCACAATTTGTTGTGATTCACACAATCAAAGGCTTTAGCATAGTCAATGAAGCAGAAGTAAATGTTTTTCTGGAACTCCCTAGCTTTCTCCATGATCCAGTGTATGTTGGCAATTTGATCTCTCGTTCCTCTCCCTTTTCGAAATCCTGTGTGTACTTCTGGTAGTTCTCAGTCCACATACTGCTGGAGCCTAGCTTGTAGGATTTTGATCATCACTTTGCTAGCATGTGAAATGAGTGAAATAGTGCAGTAGTTTGAACATTCTTTGGCATTGCCCTTCTTTGGGATCGGAATATAAACTGACCTTTTCCAATCCTGTGGCCACTGTTGAGTTTTCCAAATTTGCTAGCATATTGAGTGTAGCACTTTTACTGCATCATCCTTTAGGATTTTGAATAGCTCAGCTGGAATACTGTCACCTCCACTAGCTTTGTTGTTGCTCAGACTTCCTAAGGCCCATTTGACTTCACATTCCAGGATGTCTGGCTCGAGGTCAGTGACCACCCCATCGTGGTTATCAGGGATGTTAAGCTCTTTCTTGTATAGTTCCTCTGTGTAATCTTGCCACCACTTCTTAATCTCTTCTGCCTCTGTTAGGTCCCTGCCATTTTGGTCCCTTATCATGCCTATCTTTGTATGAAATGTTCCCTTCATATCTCCAATTTTCTTGAAGAGATCTCTGGTCCTCCCTATTCTATCGTTTTCTTCTATTTCTTTGCACTGTTCATTTAAGAAGGCATTCTTATCTCTTATAGCTATTCTCTGGAATTCTGTATTCAATTGTTTGTATCTTTCTCTTTCTCTCTTGCCTTTTGCTTCCCTTCTTTCCTCAGCTATTTGTAAAGCTTTCTCAGACAGCCATTTTGCTTTCTTGCATTTCTTTTTCTTTGGGATGGTTTTAGTTGTTGCCTCTTGTACAATGTTGCGAACCTCCGTCCATAGTTCTTCAGGCACTCTGTCTATGAGATATAATTCCTTAAATCTATTTGCCACCTCTACTGTATATTTATCAGGGATATGATTTAGGTCATACCTGAGTGGCCTAGAGCTTTTCTCTATTTTCTTCAATTTAAGCGTAAATTTTGCAACGAGAAGCTCATGATCTGAGCCACAGTCAGCTCCTGGCCTAGTTTTTACTGACTGTATAGAGCTTCTCCATCTTTGGCTGCAGTGCATATAGTCAATCTGATTTCAGTGTTGACCATCTGGTGATGACCCAAGTTGTCTCTTGGGTTGGTGGAAAAAAGTGTTTGCTATGACCATCATATTCTCTTGATGAAATTTTACCAGCCTTTGTACTCCAAGGCCAAACTCGCCTGTTATTCTGGTTATCTTTTGGCTTCCTACTTTAGCATTCTAATCCCCCATGATGATAAGGACATCATTTTTTGGAGTTAATTCTAGAAGGTGTTGTAGGCCTTCATAGAACCGGTCAATTTCAGCCTCTTCAGCACCAGTGGTTGGGGCATAGACTTGGACTACTGTGATGTTGAATGGTTTTCCTTGGATTCAAAATGAGATCTTTCTGTCATTTTGGAGATTGTATCTCAGTACTGCTTTTCCTACTCTTTTATTGACTATGAAGGCTACTCCATTTCTTCTGAGGGATTCTTGCCTGCAGTAGTATACCTGATGGTCATCTGAATTAAATTCACCCATTCCTGTCCATTTTAGTTCACTGATTCCTAAGATGTCGATGTTCATCTCTTGCTTGACCACATCCAGCTTTCCTTGATTCATGGATCTTACATTCCAGGTTCCTATGGAGTATAGAACATTCCAGGTTCCTTTGCAGCATCGGACTCTCCTTTCACCACCAGATACATCAGCAACTGAGTGTCCTTTCGGCTTTCACCCAGTCGCTTAATTCTTTCTGGCGCTACTAGTACTAGCCCTCTGCTCTTCCCCAGTAGCTTATTGGACACCTTCTGACCTGAAGGGCTCATCTTCCAATGTCATATCTTTTTTCCTTTTGGTACTGTCCATGGGGTTTTCATGGCAAAGATACTGGAGTGGGTTGCCATTTCCTTCTCCAGTGGATCACGTTTTGTCAGAGCTCTCTGCTATGACCTATCTGTCTTGGGTGACCCTGCATGGCATAGCTCATAGATTCATTGAGCTACGCAAGCCCCTTCACCACGACAAGGCAGTGATCCATGCATGAGTAAATTAGTTAGCCATTATGAAAAAGGCAAACTCTATGTTAGACATAATTAGAAATGGAATAGAAAATAGAACTATCAAGATCATACTTCCCTTATACAAATCTTTGTTACTGCCACACTTAGCATACCGTGTTCAGTTCTGGCCACATTATCTGGAGGAGGACATTATTGACTTGGAAAAAGTACAACCAAAATGATCAAGGGACTGGAGCAACTCCCTTTTGAGCCACAGCTACAACAACTGTGACTGTTTAGGTTAGAAATAGGGTAAGTAAAGGGATATATGATAGAGGTATTTAAATAATGCATGGGCTGGAGAATACTAGATAATCCGTACTAGAAGCTGGGGGCATGAAGCTGCTCTATTTAGGACAGATAAAAAGAAGTACTTCTTCATACCCCATATAGTCAAACTATTTGCTGCCATAGGAAGTAGTGATGGCCACCAATCTGGGGAGCTTTGGAAAGGAATTGGACAGACTTATGAGAGAGGAGGCAATCAGTACGTACCAGGCTTAAAAGGGGATTGGACAGATTCATGGAAGAAGACTATCATGGCTACTAGCCTTGCTAGCTATGTGTTACTTCCTTTACCAGAGGTGGCATGCCTGCATACACCAATTGCTGAGGAGCTTGGCAGGCAGAGGTCTTGAACCCACTGTGCTTGATTGATCCTGTGGGCAGCTGGTTTTCAACCATGTGTACAGAGTGTTGGATTTAATGAACCTTTGGTCTGACCCACAATGGCCTTTCTTATGTCCTTATTTATGTGAACAGAGGGGCCAGATTTCACACATTACAATCTGCTCAAATCGATTCATCTGATTCTGAGGAGGCGGCAAAGGGCCAGAAGGAGGCAGATGATTTTGGAGTTTAACAGTTATCTAGTAAAGAACCTTGACAGAGTGGTTGAACCAGTCCACCTTGGGAAACGGGGGGTGGGGGGGGAGACATTTCAAAACTGAGATTAAGGGGGGATTCCTTGAATCTGTAAGGAGATAACAGGGGAGGTGAGTGGAACAGTTAAGAAGTGTCTGACATTCCCACCTTCTAGACTTCAAGTATGTGGAGTGGAATTGAATGAGAATCTTTCTGAAATGGATGGAAGGAGAGGATGTTTCAGTTTAGATTAAAATCTTCACATGAGAAGATGCTTCTCACAATTTTCAGAGAACATCACTGTCACTAGCAGGTCTTTCCATCCCTCTTTTTCTCTCTAGCAGACTTAGATGAGAACTTAGAAGCGCATTTTTTATTAGAACATAGCCAGTTACAATAGAATTATAAATCAGTGTTTTTCTTGAAATGCTTTCTTCCTAGCAGGAGTCACCTCTGGTAGTAATGTATGAGATGTGTGTTATTGTCTCTTGCATTTTCATCTCATGTTTATACTTTGCTATGTATAACCATGGTATTTTTAATTTATATTTATCATGTATTATAGGTTGTGGTGTTATATGTTGGTAAAAAGCATAAAATGCACCCAGAAGTAATAGTGTGGTTTTGGCTCAGTCACTGCACTGTTCAATTCATTGAATTGGTAGCACACTCCTCGTACTATCCATAGCAAGGGTGGTAGGGACTGTCTTTAATATGTAGACCTATGATTTAATGTGTCTTGATCTAATTAATGCAGCTATAAGACTAAATCCCTATGTTCATCCACTTTGCCATTCACAGATTTTATACTGTGTTAATAGCATATGCTTTTTGTATTGGTACTATGTATTCCATTTTTAAAATGAGAGCCATGTATTTAATCTAGTTGAATTTATCGTATTTCAGCCTTCTATCTTCAATAACATATTCTCCAGAACGTAAAATACATGAACCATTAACACCAACAGACAGTGATAATGAAAAAGGAGAACATAATGGAAAAAAGGTCTGTTTCAATGTAGCCGGTGATGAACAGGAAGATTCTGGTCATGACACAATTAGCAATCGGGATTCATATAGGTAATTGGCTTCTATCTACATCAATGATAAGAGAATAAATTGGCATATAGCATGTACAGCTGATCAAACATTGGGTTGTTAGGTTTTTTAATGACACCAATAAAAGGAAACGGAATGCAAAGATTTATAAAGGTTCAGTGTGATGAAATGAACAGAATATTGAATATAAATTTATTTTAAATTTGGGGATGTTGAAGGCATAAGAAGAGAAAGGGCAAATACAAGATGGATCAGTTCCATAAAGGAAGCCACAGCCTTGAGTTTACAAAAGTTGAGCAGGGTTAACAAGGACAGAATGTTTTGGAGGTCATTCATTCATAGGGTCACCATAAGTCAGAGACTACTTGATGGCTCATAACAACAATATTTAACAAAACAAAGTTTTCCCCTCTTTTTGTGCTTATCCATTATGGAAAATGTGTATGAAATATATCTGAATTTTCAAGCATATGTTTGCTGAAGTCACAAACTTATGCAAAAATGAGATTTGATGAATGTAAGACAGGGGAAAAACAAGAAAGAGAAACTAAAATCAACAGAAATTATTCTGTTCAGTTGTGAAATTATACTACTTTTGGGCTTTCTACCTCTGGAGACAAATAAAATTTGCTGTGTGGTTTGTTTAATAACAAATAAATTTGGTAAAGGGTTTCAAAATAAAAGGAGAAAATGGAAAGGAGAAAATAAAAAGATAGGAGAGTTACTACTTAAATGTAAATATTCTGAATGGCTTACCTTGTGTTTTTCTCATTTCTGTTCAGTGATTGCAACAGCAACAGGAATTCTGTAGCTTCTTTTACCAGTATTTGCAGCAGCCAATGCAGTTCTTACTTTCACAGTGATGAAATGGATTCAGGTATTTTAAAAAACGTAATTCTCTGGGGAAGTTGTGTAGCATTTAATAGGTGGAGGGCTTTGTTCACCTCTCTATTGAAACAGATGAAAGGGACTAGTTTTGCTTTGGTACATTTTTACAGAATGAAGCAATAGGATCCTGTGTGGCAGCTGGATTATTATCCTGTTGTAGGTTGTCTGTATACCAAAGTAATTCAGACACAGAGTTTGAGTAGTCTGTTAAAGCCTAAAGTCAATGATTTAAAATCTCTTTTTTTAATAGGGGATGAACTTCCTCTAAGTATACGAATTTCTCATGACAAGCAAGACAAACTCCATGGTTGCTTGGAGCATCTGTTTGGACAGGTAAATGCATTTGTCTCCTCTTGCCTCAGGTCTATTCAACTACTACAGTCTCATAGTCATACGATATTATGAACTGCCTTTGAATGCTATTTCTGCAGAAACCTTGGCTTTGGGATTCTGTGCCTAATATTAACTGACTGTATCTTATGAAAAATATCCATAGTTTGTAAACACTGGAATATCAAACTGTTCATAAAACATGCAAATTGGGCTGGATCAGGGATTAACTGAATGTACATCTTAGGTATGAATTGATGTAAATCCCATTGATTTCAGTGGGCACTAAATGCAGCTAACATATTCAGGATTTAATCCAATATATTTATGCAAGGAAGAATATAATAATATGAAATGATGCAAAAAGAATTATATATTTTAACTAGATAGGGGTGACTTGTGAAAATTATCTGAAGGAATTTACACTCACCCCAGTTTTTGACTTAAATATCACCCACTGATATATATTATTTCTTAGTACTACATTCAGAATTACCAAGCAGAAATATTACTTTAGACTCAGGGTTGGAGTACAAATGATGCAAGGGGTACATAATCAGATCTCTTGTGCTTTAGGTGTTAAAAGCGGCCATGCAGGGATCAAGTTCAGGTTGCAGCAAAGGAGGAGAAGGGTTTAGCCCCTTTGTCCACATCATTTTCCTGATGGTACTCAAAATAATCCTTTACAGTTGTGTATGTTCATGGGGAAAACTTAGATATTCTTTTAGTGAATTATCTGCATTAGAAGAATTGTGATAGGGGGAAAAGTGTTATTCCATCTTTCTTGAACTGTGCTATCCACACTCAGACTCAAATTCACATCTGAGCTGCTTTTAATTTAAAACTTAACTAAATGAAGCCCACTGCTTTTTCAAACTTTGAATTCAGCAAGGCTGCAGAGGTCAAAAATTGGGACTTATCTTCTGAGCCTAGGGATGTTGGTAACTCTGTGTCCTGTGGCTAAGAGGACCCTGGATAAGGCACTGACTATTCTCCCCAATATTTTTACTTTTTTATTATGCCATTTATATCTTAGCATTTTTTTTACCCAAGGTAGCATACATGGTCTTCCTTGTCTTCATTTTATCCTTGCAAGAATCCTGTGAGGTATGTTAGGCTGAGAATCAGTGTCTGGTTCAAAGTCACCTAATAAATTTCATGGCTGAGCTGGGATTCTTGGATCGGTGAAGTTCCAGTCTTCTGAGTCTTCTTGGATCTTCCAGTATAGGACTCTAACCACTATACACCACTACACTATATACATACCATGAGATTCTTCCTCATCTGAGTCCTCCACTATGCCTTATGAAGGTTGGGGGTCACATTAGGTTTCCAGTGTTAAATCTCATATCTCTAATTATGGCCTTATTTTGTTCTAAAGCATCCAGGTTATTTTGGGCTTGCCTGTATTGAGCATATACTTAAATATTTTAAGTCAGATACAAAAGTATTTTCAAATTATGATTCATTCAATGCTTCACTACTTAATCATTTTTGAACCCAACAGGTAGATTCAATTATCAATCTCCTGAAAGGACCAGTAGTAGCAAGGGCCTTTGAACAGACCAAGTTCTTCACACCAGGACGATCTGTGCAAGGTATTACTCAAAGATAAGTACGCCAGTCAATGTGTCTTCGAATAGAATTATACCTATTTTAATATCACATTTCAATTCTATAGTAGGAAACTCTTCAATACCTGAAAATATTTTTAAGGATAGTGTATACTTCACCCTGTATTTGAAGAAACCTGTGTATTCTGTAGAAGTAGTAACTTATTGTACCAGTCTAAGCCATGTGTCTTTCTTTGTTTTTTACCTTCTGATACCAGCCACCTCTCATTCTTACTACTTTTGGGCATGTGAACAGACAGCTGTCTATAGCAAGTAAATATTGCTTCCTGTCAGCTAGGCAGAAAGACACTTCTAGATGAAAAAAAAGTTTGTTTTTTATCTTGTCAAGCAATCCTTGCATTCCTTTGTAATGCCATAGATTCCTAACAGGCTGATTCAGGCTTTGGACTAATATATTTTATTAGGAACACCTTTTTCCATATTTGCCCTCCCACACCCTGAGATCGGCAACAGAGGCCCTCCTCCGGTAACCCTCTGTGAAAGATGTTAGGAGACAGAGTACCCAGAGGAGGGCCTTCTCTGCAGTGGCTCCCCGACTATGGAATGCCCTTCCCAGAGAGGTCTGCCTGGCGCCGTCATTATATGTTTTTCGGTGCCAGGTTAAGACCTTTTTATTTAATCAATATTTTAATAAGTTTTAATATAGAATTTTATTATTGTATTTTATTAATTGCAGCCAGAGTGGGTTGTCAATTTATTTATGCTGTTAGCCATCCAGAGACACAAGTAATTGGATGGCATACAAATTCTAAAAATAAATAAATTAATATATTTTCTCTGTCATCTTTACTTCTGTATCCTGATTTTCTCCTTAATTTCTGATTTGAACAAATTATATAGAAGGGCAACATTTCCCACATAGACTTGCCCAAGTTTAAAGAATGTCCTTGTACACTCTCCTCTGAATATGCTGCCTCCTACTAGGTGTTACATCTTTTGCTTTGCTGGTTGCTATGTGTAAACACAACAGCGTAAGAAGAGTCATGCTGGATCAGACCAAGGGTCCATCATTCTGTTTACGCAGTGGCCAACCAGCACTCTTTGGGGAACGTGTAAAGAGAGAAAGAATGCAACAGTATCCTCCTGCTGGTGTATTCCAACAACTCATGTACTTGGGCATACTGACTTTGATACTCGAGAAAACATATTGTCATTGTGACTAGCAGCTGTCAATAGCCTTATCTTTCACAAATTTATTTAATCCCCTTTTCAAGTCATCCAAACTGGTGGTCATCACTAGCTTGTGTGGGAGAAAATTCAATGAAAAATTATAATGGAATTAATAGCTCACTTCAACATGGACAAGCAATTCAAATGGATTCAGGGAGAAGTATGGTAGCATCTTCCAATTCCGAGTCCTTGCTAGTTCATGCTAGGTAAAGCAAAAGGTGTTGGTGACTCCCCACTCCCCAATGGCCATTAAAAAAATCTCCATCATTGTTTCAAGAGGGAAAGAAATCTGTCAGTTCGGATCCAGGCTGCTATAGGTAGGAGGCCTGCTCTTCAGGCTTCTTCAGTGACCAAGGAGGTCCAAGGCTATTCCTGGACTACTCTGTTTTTGAGCCAATGAGAGGAAGCCTGTTGGTGTCAGAATTATGTACACAGTACTCCCCATGGGAATAGTGGAGCTTTCCACCATAGGTATGTGTCCAAACACACTATCCTACCTTCAGAGACTGGGACTGTACTGCAAGACTATTTAAAGCTTAAGGATCAAAGTAAGTTAGAATGATTGAAAGAAGTAATTTTGCTTTCATTTAGACTTTCAGCAGGAAATTGAACATAAACTCAGTTGCCCAAAGAGACTAAGAGTTCACATCAAGCAAGATCCCTGGAATCTTCCCAGCAGTGTCCAAAATCTTTCTCAAAACATCAGAAAATTTGTTGAAGGTCAGTAACTATAATAAGATATCTAATAGGTAGTTTTGTCATGCCTCTGAGATAGATACAGAAAAGGCTGTGAGGAGTAATGTGGATTCTTGGAGAGTGACAATATTCTACTAGCCTGTCCAGCTGAGTTAATTAAACCTTGTAAAGGAAATTTTACAGAGGAAGTACCAGGCATGTATTTCAAAACAAGAGTCATTATTGCCTTTTTTTACTAAATATATATTGAGGGTTATAGCTACATACTGTGGTGTATGTGCAACTCCTGTTGAAATCTCTTAGTCTAATTTTGTTTCCATTTATCTACAAGAGCATAGCAAGGGAACAAAGCAAATCTCAGAACAGAGAGACAATATTAGGATATGCAGTGGATTCCTTCAGCAGGTATATTTGTGTGGGAATTAAAAGCAATTTGAAGTTGGCTTCATCTCCTTCTTTAAATGATTGCCTGCCATTTTAAACCTATTAGTTGTAATTTGCAATAATTGTGATAATTTTCTATGACTGGTTTAATTTCTCATAAATGCAAATGAAAATATGCTATGATTTTATATAGATAAATGTTTTTATTCCCCATGGAGGTTTTGAGTTTAGATTATGGAATGTGGCTGGATGTGGAAAACGAAGTAATTTACAAATTATTACAAAGCGAAATACCTATGTTATTTTTCTTTGTCAGTGGTTCTGTTGGGAGGATCGGTAGGTTTCTACTGAGGGTAGAGAACCCTACCTTTGCAGAAACCAGTCAGAGATGTGAACAAAACCCAGTGTTCCTTCAGAGGCAACAGGGGAGTATCTCTGAAAGGAGAGGGCAGCATCCAGATACTACCTGAGTCAGTGGTGTCGGGGAAATTATGTGTGATGGTGGCATGGAAGACATTACATGACCTGTGTAGTATGTGGCATGTAAGGAGATCTTGGATGCTCCTGACTGTGGCTTATTAAAAGTCATACCATTTCATGAATGCAACTGTTCTCATGACAGTGCATGATAGTTATATGTGGAAGAATACGGAGCCAAAAACTCTGCAGCTGACACTACAGATTTGGATTTCTTGGTTGCCACTGGACTACAGTATGTTTGGTTACGAATATATATGGCTTTGAATGATCAGTTCAAATGGTTGCTACTTTATTATTTAATTTGGAAATTTAAAATTTCATGAATGTGCATGGACTTTTAGGAAGTATATATTTTTAAAAAATAACTAATTGCCATAAGACCTTGTGTTTGTATTTTTTGCTGCATTTTATTGTTGTTTTAATGTGTTTTTATCTTGTGGTTGTCAGTCTCCCAGAGGTGCTGTGGCACAATTGGGAGGCATACAAATGTTTTAAATAAATAAATTAGAATGATGTTGAAATCAAAAGAAAAATGGACAAACAAAGGTCAAGTGTGAGTCAAAAATAAGATTTCATCTTCAAGTTCCTGTACTTTTTTTCCAGAGGTAAAAGCAAGGATCCTTTTGGCACTTCTTGAATATACAGGTATTTTTAAAATTCAGATTGTTCTCTTGCAGTTTTATGAATGCAAAGGATACTCATTAAATATGGAAGAGATGCAACATAGCAATTGAGTGGTCCAAATCCAGTGAATATAATTCATTAAATGCCTAAGTGTTGCAAAATGTAAAGTAATGAGACTCAAATACCTTAGGATATCTAATTAGTTATATGAAGTGGAAAGGCAGGATAGATATGTATTCTATCTATTTAAATAAAAAATAGGATTTTCAGAGTCAATGTGTACCCTTCAATACATGAATGTCAAGCAACGTAGAAGCATTTGATAGCTAAATTTTGATAATACTCTATAAAAATGGTAAATAGCTTTTGTGGATGTGCATTTCCATCCCAACAGAAGCAACATGTACACAGGATGCTTGATAGCAAGTTTTGTAAATAAAGTGATATTTTGCTCAAGAAAAATGTCAATGCCATTACATTCTCTTTCTGTTGCAATTTCTTGTGCTTTACTTTCCAGTCTATTTCTCTTTCCTTATTTATTGTTCTCCTCTGTTGGACCATTTGCAGATAGTGAGGTACAGCTCAGGCGAGACATGGTCTTCTGCCAGAGTCTGGTGGCCACAGTTTGTTCTTTTTCGGAGCAACTAATGGCTGCTCTAAATCAGATGTTTGACAACAGCAAGGAATGTGAATTAGAGACACAAGAGGCCAGCAGAAGATGGTTGGAACAGATATCCAGTGCAGGTGTTCTTCTTTACTTCCAGTCCCTGCTGTCACCAAACCTGGTAAGGACCCTGTGCATGTCTGTTCATCTGGTTAAGCCTCTAATTGTCCTGACCAAAAGCAGCCAGAATTAATCTCTGTAACAAAGAAAGAGTGATTATCTAAAACCATTAGACAGTAGCCACGGTTCTGGTATATTTTTATTTTGCACTTTAAGTTAGTAACACTTCATTTTACTGAAAGTCTGAAGCCAAATAACTGGCTCTTTAGTTCAAACCAAGAAATGGAATCCCTCCCTTTTATGGCCCTAATTGCCTGCTTAGAATTGCCAAGGTCACAATACTAGAGTAATAGTACTAGGCTACAAATGGAAAGAATTTAGGACTCCTAGACAGAGCATTCCTTGGCTGACATAGCTCTTTAGCCTAAAATTCCCAGTCCTCCAAATCCTTTTGCAGTGCTGCTGATCTGCACAGACTATCCTGTTTCTCATTCCTATGTGAAATTTTGTCCCCATTTCTATTTTCTCCATAGCATTTTTTCCAATGACATGTTTCAAGAACCCACTGGGTTTGATCCAGAATAAGTAAGTTTAATTTAGACTCCAGTGAAATCTATGCAACAAGTTAGTCATGACTTACATTCCATTGATTTCCATGAAAACAAAATGAAACTAGTTTAGTCTGGATCCAACATATCTCAAGAGGCCTGCTTTTTGATACCCCACCACTTTTACCCACTTCCTTTAAGCTTTCCCTTTCTTAATACTGTCAAATTTTTACTTCTTTCCAATTTAACCCCCACCCCATTTTTTTCAGTTTCAATTCTAATTTTTTATTTCTTACCTATCCTTCCTTCAAGATGGTTGGTGCAGACTTTGCTTTATATTTTAAGATACAAACATGCATTTGAAGCAATGTAGTATTGATTGATCAGACAATTTATAATGGAGAAAAGGCATACAAGTTAGTAGGGGAAAGGGTTCTTCCCCCCCCCCCCTTTCCATTTATCCATTCTAATCCTGCTCCCCACCCACTTAAAGCAGTTGTACCTAAAAAGCATATATGGAAATACTGCTACATGCATTAACATGTAACTTGCAAATCTTCCTCTTTTCTTAGTTGACTGCTGCACCATGAATCCTAATATAAGCTAAATGATTTTATTTTATATCTTTGCATGGTATTTTCCTAGAACAGTATAAATACATGTTCAGGGCATAGCGGTTTAATCCCTGCTTAGTTATCCTAACTCATTGTGAAACACTTACAGATCTAGTGGGTTTCTGCCTAAGTGTTGCAAAAAGTGTTCTGGGGAAATGCCCTAAAATCAATAATTTTAGTGGATGGTTTAATCAAATCCTACTGCTCTTAAGTATTGTTTCCTGCAGGCCACAATTTAGTATAGTAAAATATGAAGTTGCCAAGAAAATAATGGAAGGTAAAACTGACTGGGTTCTGGTAACATGATAACCCAAACTCAAGGGCTGAATATTTGTTGAGAGTAGGTTGTTGAACCATGGGTTGACTGAACCAAGTACTATTAACTATGACCAACCTATGAAAAGAAACCATAGTTTGTTGCTGGGTTGTGAATTGTGGGTTGTATAATGGCTGATTATCTTGCCTGGGTTCAGACAACATGATAACCCATATATCAATAACAACCTATGTTTAATGATAATCCAGGCTCAAAAACTATGCTGTAGTACTTACTATGTTGGATTTGGTCTCAGGAAATGTGGGTTCCTCACTTGGCCATGAAGCTTATGAGTGACTCTGGGCCAGTCCCTGACTCACAGTTGAGTCATCCTCAAATGGAAAGGGCAAGGAAGATTATGTGCCACCTTGGATTCTTTGCAAAAAAAAAAAAAAAAAAGGATTAAATAAATAAAAAATAAATATTCAAACTCAGTCCTTGAGTGTGTGTTCTTATGTTGTTTTAACTTTGTCAGTTATTTTTTTATTAATGCTGAGTTGGACATGGTGGCAAGTTATCCAGGAAAACATCAAAAACAATGGTATATGCCTATCACCATTTCCCTTGCTTTGTAACATGTCATATGACTGTCTGGCTAATTTTGTGTAATACCAAATGCAGTTATGGCCTATTTCAGCATTGTGATTCTGATACATATAGTTTTTTATTTTTTAAATTAAGATTTGAGGAGATAACAATTGCCTTTCATATATTACATGTATCAGGAATGAAATCTCTCTGTGTTTTGTTATGTAATGCTTTTTGATATGAAGAGAAAAAATAATATATTTTCCAAAGATACAGCTTTGTTTCTCTATTGAATCAAAAGCAACAAAAAACATTGTGGCTAACAAATATAATATGGCAGAAGCTTCTGTCACAAAACTCTACTATATAAGATACATGCATCTGATGAAGTTGAGTATAGTACACAATTTATATATAGGTTAATCTATGAGATACCATTAAGAGTCTTTGTTGTTTCAGTTATTTCAGTATTTTGCTATTTGATACACCAGTAGACTTAGCATGGTATCAGAAAATACTATTGCTTAGAATTACATTGATTTGATATGCTATAAATCTTTACCTTCTGAGAAAGAATAGTTCTAGCTGAACGCTTCCCTACTTAGCAAGGATATAATAAAATGTGTAGAGAAGCCACAGTAAAACCATTACTGTGTTACAATGTTTAAAACATTTCCTAAGTTCTAAATACTGTAACACACACAGACACACACAAAGAATTTTAACCATTTAAGCATATTTTGTTGAGCAACATTTCTAGGTGTGCTCATATTCATGAGTAACAATTAAAATTGTAATTAAATGTCATGGTCAATGCAGCAAACAGTAACTCATTTTGCTATATTCAGTGTATATCATCATTGGTAACAATCTTCTTTTTACCAGCATATATAGTTGAAATTCAATAGAAATATATCCATCTTTGGTTGATGCTGAGTTCATTCAGTTAACTAATCTTCAGTGAAACAGGGTGTGATTATCTGCAGTTATTATTAATAATCATGTACATCAATCTGGATTAATTACTAGACTCAAGGTTTCTTTTTCAGACTGATGAACAAGCTATGCTAGAAGACACATTAGTTGCATTATTTGACCTGGAGAAAGTTACATTTTATTTTAAGCAATCTGAACAAGACCCTTTAGTTGCAAGTAAGTATCACAAAGAAGGTTTAACTCTTCCATTGTTCATTCAAAATTCACTATGATAAAGAGTGGTACCTCGGTTCACGAACACCTCAGTTCATGACCAAATTGGTTCATGAACAAAAAATTCCAGGAAAATATTGCTGCTGTTCGTGAACTCTGCATCAGGTGATGACCACGATCACGGCCATGTTCCCACACAACTGTAGCCATCTTTCCCACATGAGCACGATCGTGCCCATCTTTCCCGCTCGTGGTCACAGACCTGTGGTCGCTTGCTTGTGAAGCTTTTTTGTGTGCTTTTTAGCACATACAGTACTGTAAAGTATTATTCAATAATAATATTGAATAATGGCTCCAAAGAAAGTGCAGAGCAAGCATGGTGGTAAAAAGAACGTGCAGAGCGGTAATGAAGGTGACCAGAACATGCAGATTTTTCACCAAAATTGACCCTGCAGCTAAGAGACAAAGAAGAGAGGAAACCCCTGAAGGAGACCTCCCCGATGTCCTTATGGAGGGGGACTCTCCTTCCAAACAATAACCTCCTCCTCACCTAGGTTAGTGTTCTCTACTGTACTGTTCTTTGTTACTTTGTTGTTCTTTATTACTTTGTTTCAAATTTTTGTGATTAAAAAAATATTTACAGAATGGATTAGCCTTATTTACATTGAACCTTAAGAGGGAATTTGACTTGGTTTGTGACCAATTTGGGTCACATGGAACAAATTAAGTTTGTGCACTGCGGTACCACTAACACAGATAAAACACTCCCAATTTCCTGATCCTTGCCAAGGAGCATCAACTGATTCTTTTCATCCTTTCCTTTCCCCACTTTTGTGGGTGTAGTACTTAACAATGGTTTAGTGTCACAGGTGCACCAATGTTAAAGCTAATTATGATAACTATAGGTAATCTAATGAACTAGAAAGATGGGGAAGATGAATGCTTCTTCACAAGGTTCTTAAACAATTCATCTGCTTTATTTATGTTCAATTCCATCAGAGAACCGAGACTGGAGTACTACACCAAGAACATTTCCTTTCCTGGTTTTCTACTACATAGTTTCTAGGTGGCACTGAGCTATAGTGCAAATGCACAAATGAAAAAGCAGCTTTTTCACATTAATGATTAGGTCTATAGAAGCAAACATTGGAAGTCAAAAAGTCATCTAAATATGTAACTCACAAACTATGAGTAGGGAATGCTGAATAAACGGGTTCATTTAGAAGAACCCAGAAGTTCTTGGGACCAAGGTCTAAAGAGAATCTAACAGAGAATAATGAAAGTTGGGGCAAGCAACGAGGCAGGCAAGCTAATGCTAGGGATGTGAGCCAATAATACGGAACATGCTTTGCATGCAAAAGGCTCCAGTTAAATTCCCAGTGAGCCCAGTTTAAAGATACTATTAATTCTATCTTAAAGCTAGCCATGTTAACTTTAACATCAGTACAAATGTAATACTTTAGCATTTAACTCTGAAAATGAAAGGACAGAAAATGATGAAGCCAACTTGACTGAGGAAGTTACATTTTGTGTTTAAATTTTTAAAAAATGTATATTAAGGAAACTTTAAACATTCTGAAAAGCCTCTAGTGGCAAGTTACTACTGAAGCTGCCTATGTTTATGACATTCACTGTTACTTCAGTGAAACAGCCAATTTTATTTCCATGGTCAGATGTTTGGTATGCATAGCCTTAATAATATGGGTCAGAATTTTAGCCTAACAAGAAAATACAGAAATTGAACAAAGCAAGGATTTGTATAATTTTCTGATGTCATCTGCTCAGTTGTGCCTGTCTTCCAATTTTATTTAAAGTAGCATATTAAGTTGTTAATGCTTAAATTAAACATTAATGCTTGCCATGTGGCTAGTACCCCGCCCCCCAAAAAAACCTCCACTTCATTTTGCACTGTCCCCTTGTCCCTCATAGCATAGGAACATATGGCATTGCATGGCATCGTTAGGGGATTTCCATGTTTTCTCAACAACATCAAATGATGTGGCGTGGAAGTGAGGAAACTCACTGCCTGATGGTGTCATGGCACAGTTATTCTTCCTAAATGTTCCAGAGGACAAATAGAAATGATGACGCCATGATTCAGATATTTGTGGTATTTCTATGGCAAGTATAACCTATCCTTCCAGACCCATCTAAATTTGCTGTGGTACCACAATTATAGAGGATTAACTGTAGGGAGATGAAATAGTATTTTATTTCTATTTTAACTTGTTTAACACATTTATATTATTTTTCTCATAGGCATTAAAACATACATAGCTTTTACTCATTTTTCCCACAAACCACCCCATGAAATAGGTTAAGCTGAGAGAGTCTGGCCCAAGGTCACCCAATTAGCCTCTTGGCAGACTGGGGATATGAACCTGAGTATCCTCAGTTCTAACTCATTACTAATCAGTATACCATGCTGACTTTCCTCTTTTACCCACACAACTCCTTTCCATTTTTTTCTCAGTGTGAGAAATGTTTTAGTTTGCTTTTAGGTTTTTTTACAGTATATGTAATTCCTTGTAGCAAATATTTTGAGTGGGTGTTGGCCTTTGGTAACTTTGTAATGCAATTATTTGGTTTAGATATGCCAATCACATATCAAGCAGAAGGAAGCCGACAGGCCTTGAAAGTTTACTTTTACATTGATTGTTACAATTTTGAACAACTTCCACAAAGACTGAAGAATGGTGGAGGTATTAAAATTTATCCAGTCCTGTTTGCTCAAGGTAAAATATTCTCCCCCACCCCCAATATTAGGATGATGAAGCATAACTAATGCTTTTGTTCTTGCATGTAGCAGCGTATGATGCATACACCTCTCTCTCCCCCTCTCTCCTTGCGTGCGTGCGTGTGTGTGTGTGTGTGCGCTCCTCCCTCCCTCCCTCCCTCCCTCCCTCCCTCTCTCTCTCCCCCTTCCTCATAACAACCTAATCTGGATTCATGAATTGCTCACCTCTTTCTGTTTAAATGCTGTCTGGGAAGTGTGAATTTCTCATAAGTGCAAACTCTCTCTCTCTCTCTCTCTCTCTCTCTCTCTCTCTCTCTCTCTCTCACACACACACACACACACACACACACACACACACACAGCTTAATGGTACAATCTTTGGCTGTATATAACCATTCCCATTCTAATTACTATCTGGACCCCTCTAATCTAGCTGGATGCATCTTTCATGGGGTGGGACTAGTCAGTATTCTAATAAGTACTGTAGGCTCATTATGGGTCATTTAACCCACAATGAGCTGAACTATGTGCTGGACACATGTAGCCACCATTGTGAATATGCAACTCCTGATGAGGGTGTAGCATGTCATCCACATTCTGCCACAATCCCCATTAGTAATATGGTTTTGTGAGGTTTGTTTAATCCTTAAATGAACTACTGTGTTTGGGTGCAGGCTACTACCTCAGGTTGATTGCATGTTCAGAATGGTGGCTGAATGTATCAGCTTGTACACTGACTTACTGTGGGTTAAATAACCCACAGTGAGCTTCATGTTTTATACAAACCAGGTCATTGTATGTGTGGCCGGGCACCAATGTTTGGTTAATAGTAATAGTTTGATTTGGAAACTTTATTTATTTATATTACTCGCAAATGTAAAAAGCAAAGGCCTTTCATACTGGACCTTTTCTCTTGTTTATTGCAGATCTGATTCTACATCACTGTCCTTGCATTTCATTCAGTCCCATGCAGTCTTTATTAATGTAAAGCTGGGTCTGCATATAATTCTATACAAAAACAAAATCAAGGCCTTGGGAAACATTGAAAGTGGTAGTCATTTAAATAGCTTATTAGCAGAAATAGTATTCAACATACACTTCAAGCTGTGAATTCATAGGCTGTTTTCAACAAAATTGTACTAATCAGGATACATGTTTGTTTCCTAGGGAGATAAAACTTTACATGGTATATTTATTATCAAATACCACCGTTCTTACCTGAAATTTCTTTCATTAATACATTCATTTCTTCAGAGGTCAGCTACCATGTTACTATTTCAGTGTAATTATTGGATTACTCAATAAATTCTGATTTTATCAGCTCCAAATTTATATAAGTTCTTGTTAAATGTACAGATAAATGAATGAATGCAATGAATAGATGAAATTTTGAATCCTATGCACATCTGTCATACAATCCTACCTCCTCCACCACCAGTGTTGACAGTTGGAGGGTACTAGGAGTTGGCTGCCAACTGGTACATCACCTGGGGAAGTGGGGACTCAGCTGTGACAGAGACCTCCCCTGTGACTGGGTCAGTAGGAAGTTACTGCCGGAAGAAAGCCTTCTATGAGTTAGAGCTGAGACTGTAGCTAAGAAGACTGAGACTTAGAAGGGCTGCATTGAAGGAACTAGAAAATATCACCATGTTATTTCACTGGAGACCAAGGTCAAGATCATCCATACTATTGAATTCCCAATATTTATGTATGTGAGTGAAAGCTGGACAGTGGAGAAAGCTAACAGGAAGAACACTGATATATTTGAACCATGGTTCTGGAGGGGGGCTTTGTGATACGCTAGAGCAACAGAAAGTCAAAACAGTGAGTCTTAGATCAAATCAATCCAGAGCTTTCCCTAGAAGCAAAAATGACAAAACTGGGGCTGACATTCTTCAGACAGATTATGAGAAGGCAAGGCAACAAATATTTGTTTACAACAAATATTTCATTGCAAGTAATCAGATCTTGTGTTGTTCAATCCTATTCGTATTTATTAAGGTAAAGTTGAAACATTTCTGAAAGCTTCAGCAACAATTTTATTTGGAAAAAAGACTTAATAATGAAGATTTTTTCCTGTTCTCCCATAGCCCTAGAAAGCATGGAAGGCTACTATTACAGAGACAGTGTATCAGTGGAAGAATTTCAAGCCCAGATTAATGCAGCTTCATTGGAAAAAGTGAAACAATATAACCAAAAACTCAGGTAAGCAATTACTGTCCAAGAACACAAGTCTGTTTTTCAGCCCTGAAACAATATGCAGAAGTAATATTTAAAGGATCTCCAGGCACAAACACCTTTAGGATGAATGGATGGTAGTGGTGATATCAAGGTTAGTCTGCTTATTATTAATTAAAATATGCATATTTTATGCCAGATAATCTTGAGGGGAAATCCACTGCAAAAGAAGGTGATTGCTTGCCAGGTTACCTCAAAGGTTTTCCTGGGGTTTAACATGTGCTGCCAGAGAGAACATGCCTTAGCTTTGCAACCACATGGACACACAGGATACTTGGAATCAAAGGGAAGTGATCAGTAGAAAATGTATTGCATGTTGTCTAGGCAGCAAATATTCCTATTGCATCTCATGCTAACTCTATATTGCTAAAAAGATCAAAAGCATCCTGCTTAACAGTCCCATAGATAGAGATAAGCTTACAAAGAGAGAGACAGAGTCTACTACCTGTTTCTCAGTTGTCCTGCATCATAGATTCTCAACAGTGGTCTCTTGCTGGGGCAGGAAGGGGTGCAAGAAGTTTGCATTCCAGGCTAGGTTACTAGGTCTGCTTGCCCACTTCCATTTTCTAAGTCTCTAGTCTTTCTGTACTTGCTTCTATGGGTAGGGGAAAGTTCGCATTGTTTCCCAGACATATGCTAATTGTTTTACAGGTGCTTGATCTGTCTTGATGATCTTATTTTAAGCCGTCTTCTATGCGACTATGTCTGTTTTCTATGGGTAAGAAGTTGAGCTCTTTGTTTGCTGGCTGCTATTGATGGGATAATTTCCAGGTATCTCTGGATAATGGTAGTCATCCCTGCAGTGTCATATTGCCAAATCACTTTAAGGGGAAATGTCTTATGCTTGACCTTTTCTCTGCAAAGATTCCAATGTACAGTATTCACCATTCATTCTTATCTCAGCCACACTGGCTAGCCCAGCTCCCTGCTCCTGAACTTGGGCTTACCATGGCCTGGTAGCCTATCCTTCTGGCAGTGCCTCGTGGCCTAGGAGCTCATCTTGGTGCTGATTCCCCTGTAGTGTTATTTGCCATTATGAGCTAAAGTTTCAGGTCAGGAATGGTGGTGAGAAAAGGGTTTTGGCTCTCTTGCCTGTTGAGAGAATTATGAAAATTACAAACTGCATATATGAATACTATGAGAAATTAACTGGTCAAAATGAGGTTCCAACCTCTTAGTTCAGTTTCATCCTTTGTATATCAGGTTCTGAATCAGATTCCGTTTCTTTGTGAAATTCATTGTGAAATTATGCTTTTATTATAGGAATTCCTGAGCCTCACACTCACTGTGCCAAATAGCAACCTATTTCATTAATGAATGTAGGTATTCAAAGATTAACTGCTATTCTGGCTGAAATATTGCAACAAGCTATCAAAATATTGATTTAAACAGATCTGTGGGGTTTATTAAGCATGGATGTGGACTGATAACCTTATCAGACTATTGATCTGATAGCTTTAAATACTGTTAGAACAGACCAGGTTGCCATTGTTTCTTTGGACATGGAAAAGTTCTTTTACAATAGTCTTTAGAAATATATTTTAACTACACTACATATTTAGCAGCTTTCCTGAAGGATTTTTGTAATGGATTTAAGTTTTATATTCAACCACAAGAGCTAGAGTTATGTCTGGTAGTCAGTTTCTGGCTTTTTCTTTTCACCAGGGAAGAGGTACCAGGCAAGGATGTCTTTTTCTTCTCTCTATATTTTATTTATGTATGGGATCCTTGGCACATGCTGTTGGAAAGAACTCATGGCTTTCTGCATGATTGTTTAGGAGGTATACATTTGTCTACTTGTTTGTCCTTCTGTCAGTCCAGGGTATTCACAAAGCTTTCATCCAACACCATGATTTGAAGGCATATTTTTTTTCCTATCAGTTTTAGTCACTGTCCAACTTACACACCCATACAATAGTGACCAGATATAGATAGGCATCTTCAAAGTTAAGTCTACAGGGCAAAGTAAATTCAATTAATGTGAATAGTTTATCTTAGATTGTTTATGTTAATACACGGGGTTCTTCTGTTTATACCTGGCAAATATTTTTAAAACTTCAGTGCTTTCTTTTGTAAATTTGAGTGATGGGCATTTCTCCTCATCAAGATTATCTTTGAAAAGGCAAAGAGGATTTTCTTTTCAAATCTGGCTTTATATAATTAAGTCTAGTTATTGACCTGCTCTAAATTTTGGTCTTTTCTACTGAGAATAGATTTTCCATCTTTGTCTCTTTTGGAATCTTTCTGTTAGGATCCTCTGCCAAATGGATGGCATTAGGGCTCTTGGAGTATTAAACTGTTTTATCCCACAGTCATGGCTAAGAGATGCACAGCTTACAATGTCATGTCAATTAGATTGTGATTCATGATAAACTGACTCTGTAGAAATCCACATTTAAAAATTGTAAAGAAAATGTTTTTGTGATGAACTTGGATGGGAAAAAATGATTTCTAACTTGGTTCAGTTAAGAGATGCCAATTATTTTGGCATGCCAAACACAGTTTCCATGCTAAGGCTGAATGGCAATACCTGTCTTGCTTTATCCCCTTATGGAATTCCTGAGCCTTGGGATGAAATGAGGTTTGACCTCCTCACAGCCAAACTAGCTCCTGTTGGTGGTCCTTGTAGAAGGGTGACCGTAAGAGTGGACAGCTTCTGTTGTACCTGTGGCTGTTGCCCACAACTTCAATGCCAACACCAAGGGGCTCGAATGGGATCTTATGTGGGATAGGTGAGAGTTGCTCCCATCTGATAGTGGTGTGGGATAGCCCACGGGCTGTGGGTTTCTCACCTCAGCATTAAGGTATGAATACTTAATTCTCTAGCAAGGGATACTTGGTATAATTCTGTGTTTTAGCTATTGTAATTGTTTCATGTTCTGTAGTTTCCAGTGGAAAATAGAAATATTCTTCTTTCCATGCATATAATGTAATCTATTTGAATAATATTCTGTCTGAACTCATTAGAAAACAAACAAGTTTTAGCTCTGAACTCATTTATAAACCAACAGGTCCTTAGCTAATAGATTCAATGTCCCTGTCCCCCATCCCATGCAATATAATTTTATTTGTGAGATATGATGGCACTTGTCGCTGTTGACTATGATTTGAATTCTGCAGTGGTGTCTTAGAGTGAATAGATTGCTTCCAACCAGATCTCAATAATAACAGTTTCAGAGTTTGGTAAATGAAAAGATGCTTTTCTTCTGATAGCAAACTTGGTCTATTTAATAGTCATTTGCTTCGACTTAAACAGCTAGGCAAATGAAGGACTGGAAATGTACAAAAGCATTTTTTAATTATACTGGGAAATAATTATGAAGATCTCTTTCATAAATCTATTTGCCACACATTTTTCATACTTCAGATTTTAGTTTGTCAGTTCAACAATATGAAAGAATCATAAGAAGCAGCCTGAAAATGGCCAACATTGTTTCAGTTGTAGGATATAGCTGCAACAGCAAATGTCCATTGCAAGCGTTCCCAAATTGCAGAACTGATTCTTTAGGGAGATTGTGATCCCATCCAATACCAGAGTTACCCTTGCATCCAAGGTTTCTCCACCCATTCTACCCTCAGAATATCTTCATTAAACCTCAGTTCATTCACCTCCATCCAAATCAGATCTAGACATCTGTTAGGGGCTCCCACAGTTTCACTGGAGCTACTTAGAATAAAATTGACCAGTTGATAGAACTGGAAAGCTAACAACAACATTTTCTCTGCCTGTGTTTGTATACTTTTACATGTTCCATCCAGAACTTGCCTGATTTTTAAATAAAATAACTGGTTTCAAGAAGCCACAAAGTCCTTTATTCAACTGTAACAGAAAATTTCAAATGGAAACTTCAAGCTTCCACTCCACATGTAGGACAATAGAAAAGAAGGCAAATGTCCCCAAGACTTGCTTCAGTATATGTCTGAGCTGGTTCTTACTCTAGTCATACCTTTACCAAAACAATAAAAACTATATTTTTCAAATGCTAAAGCTAATATCTTCTGCACATGAAATAAATATTAACATTTCATGCTTGTCACTTTAAGTAGATCAGAAAATATTGCCCTGCTTTGGGCTTTAAGCCAGGCTTTCCATTAGCTTTCCTCATCAAATTTGATTAAGATTCTAAACAAGCATTTAGTAATTAAGCAAAGTGCTTTGGAAATTTGTATGCTGACCTTAGTTTGCTACGTTCTCAGCAAGACCAGGATAATTTTGTGAAAAGCTATACAAGTGTTGCATGTTTAAATTTTATGTGTCAGCTAATGGGAGGGGGGGATTATTTCATTTTTCTGTAAGTTACACTCTGAAAACTAAATTGATGTTTGGGAAGAACAATCCTTTACCTTTGTTATGTCATGAATGAATACACTCTGCAGCTTGTTTTTATGTGTCACCAAATCAGTTCTGACTTACGGTGACCCTATGAATGAAAGCCTTTCAGAATGTCTTGAAGAAGATGGATACAGCTTAGTCTGGTGTCTCTGCTTTGACCATTCCACTCCGGGTGACCCTGCTAGAAGACCAGCCTAGTGAGACAGTCTGGCTTCCTGGCAGCAGGGTTCAGGGCTAGAATGTGGGCAGCCAGAGATAAGACAGAGGCACCAAGGCAACAGAGCTTGAGGGAAAATAGAGTCCAAATGTAATGTTTAATGGCAAGTTCAATTGCAAAGTCTAATCTGTAGTAACCAACAGGTCTTGGTCAGGAACCAGAATACATAGCAGGGCAGAACAAGGACATGGCCAAGAACAAGCCAAGGGTCAAGAACCAGGAGGACAAACAGAGGGGCAGTGGAAAGGATAACAGGGCAGGAGACATGCCAGGCAGGATGCATGGCAAGCATCAGGCAGGATGCAGGCACTTGAGGCAGAATAACAGGGCAGGAAGCATGGCAAGCTGGAGACACAGCAAGGTGCAGTAGACAATGGGCACCAAATGCAGCAAAGGTCAGGCAAGATGTAGGAGCTGAACCATAGCTAGCAGACAAACCAACAGTGCTTAAGGCAACATGACAAGACAGGATACATGCCAAAGCAACATAGACAGCATGGGAGGATACAGGTCAGACAAGAGGCAGGCACAACAGCAAGGCAGGGAATACAACAGGAACCAGGAGCAGAAAAGGTCAGGCATGATGCAGCCACACTGGGAAATAGGAAAACTTATGTTGCTGAGGCCAGTTCTGGAGAAGGAGCTTGCTCTTGTATAGTTCTTGCCCTAGGACTCCCAGCTGGTGCTCATCAGTAGACTGAGAGCTCCAGCAGGGCCTGGGACTTATCCTGCAAATGTGGTGGTGGTGGTTCTGACCACCAAAGCAGCCCAGATCCTGACAGGATTGCTCTCAGCTTTTCTGACACCCTCAAAATCCCACACCACATTAAGGTGTGCATCAGGTACTCTGCAGTTGCACTGGCAGAAAGCAGTTCTATCCAGTGTATGCATATTTCTTTTTCCTCTGAGGCTGAGCACAAATGGCAGAGAAATGATAGACACTCTCTCTGTCTTCTGTCACCAGTTGCATCCACATGCTGCTCACACATGGACGGAGCCAGTGAATTCACAATGACAGGGATATACCCTCAGAGCACCTTCTGTATCACAACACACACAACAAATAAAATGACCCTTACATTGTATTAATGTATCAAATATTCTGATTTAGCCAAAGTAAAAATGAAAAGGAACTCACTTGAAGCATCCTGAAGACTTAACAGATTTTCAGTGTAATTCTAAATATGTTTACTAATAATTAATTTACTTTTAGGTTAATGTTTACAGGATTGCATCATCATCATCATCATCATCATCATCTACTATTGGTTTAAGATTTTGTGGACTACATCCTACTTTGTCAAATGCATGCTGTGTTATGTTTAGTTGGTCAAATGTATCTATATATCTATGAATACATGGAAGAGGTGTGTGTGTAAAATATTGGAAACAAAAAGCTGTGCAACTCTTTATGTTGCACTGCATAACCTTTGGAATTCTGTGTTTCCCTGATTGCTTGCCTGTAGATATACATGAACACCTTTGTCAACTGCACATGTTTGATAAAATTAGTTCTTATCCAGGAGAGGTTTTATCAGAACAAATCTTTACAGTGGGATGGTTTGCATGAGCAGAATAAGTCACCATGGCTTATTTAAATTGCAGTGTCCATGAGTTCTAATTTCCATAATCACATGGCTGTTTTGGGGTTATTGGAGAGTTGTTTTCCCTTCCAACCAGTCATGTCTCCTAAGTTTGGGCAACATAACAGGCTTTGCCCAGGCAGCGATTCTGATAATTACATTTTGTAGTTATACCTTTTGATCACGTGAACCAGATTATTGTCTTTAAGGTATCAGTGTCTCTCTCTCTGCTGCTGCATTGAGCTAAAAGAGCTATTCTTCTGAAATTATGTTCTGAAGTTTTGAATAAAGCTAAATGCCTCTGGTGTTACAGTAAAAAATGTTGCTTCCTTTTACTTTTATAAAAGTTTAGTTTGTGGATTATGAGAGTTAAGCTGTTTGTAATAACACAGAAGATAGATTTTCATCGATAGTGAAGTAGCTTTTAATATGCAGTGGCCACTTGAGCAATTTTTTAAAAATAATGTTGATATTTCATCATTCAGTTTGTTTTTCTGATTCTGGCTACATTTAGAAAGGCATTGTAAACGCAGTTTAAGTGGAAGTAATAGCATGTGCACTGTTTGCACATATCTCTCATAGCAGAAAAAATAAGCTTCGTGCTGTGGTATCCACAGTCCTGAAATTCCTACAGATGTTAATAAGGTATGAGTTGGCAGGCTTATTGATGGAGAAATGTTGTAGATTGACTGCTGCACTGACCATTTCATACCCTAATCCTGTAAAACATGAATATTAAATCAGTATTCTTCATGTGTTCCTTTGAAATGAAAGTATTTGATCTCTTGCAAACATTTATACATAATTAAACTTGCTCTTACAAAGTATTGCTAATTAGAGTTGCTTGAATAAAAGCTGGTGTGAATGTGATCCTACCTTTTATGTTGGTTCTATATCCTTTTTTCCTTCTGCAAACAGAAATAACCAATCTTTCTAACTTTTAACTAAGCTGGTTTGCAATGTTAAGCATTTTTATTTGAGTAGGGGAGCATTTAAAAGCTTACATTTCAAGGTGAGGCTCATTTAATTTTAAAGACAGATTAAACTTTATCCTGCCTCAAAATCACAGTTTTTATGGTCAGTTGCATTAAATGCTTTGAACTAACTTATATTCTTTTCTCATTGGGTTTTGAACGTTTTAAAATACAGATGTTCTTGAACAGCTAACATTGTGGGTGTTTGTTTTCTCAGGGCATTTTACTTGGACAAGTCAAATCTTCCACCCAATTCAACATCAAAAGCTGCTTACATAGATAAGGTAAATCAAACATATGTTGAATGGGATTTAATCACCTGAAATGTCTTTGCATTGGAGTGATATTTCAATGCATGCTATCCATGAAGAAAATACTGTAAGGTGGGCATAGTAGGTTAAATGGTTAGAATAATAATGAAATACAATACTCCCTATTGTGGGATCATGAAAGTAACTGCTGTATACTGGAAAGGTAGAAGACACCTGCTATTTATCTAAGTCATTTATGTTCTAGAGATTTTGAGGAAATTGGGATGCAGAACTCACTAAACATCTATTGTTGCTGTTGCCAGCATACAGATATTTGCAGAAGCTAGTAGAAGTCTCCACAGAGATCAGCACAGCTAGAAAGTTCCATGAGAATATAGAACAGTATTTTCAGAAATATTCTCAGCATTGTAAAGGAGCGGATTCATCATACTATTTCCTTTTCTTTACTTAGATTCACCAATTATGCATTTAATCTTAGTATTCAGAGTGGGCCTACTGCTAATTCTTATTTGCCCAGTTAATGATCATTCTATAGATAGGAATATTCTTTTGCTATATAATTCCTAAGGGTCCAATTGCAGCTTTGGCTGTATATACTTCTTGCCATAGTAATGGGAACAAAATTCACTGAATTATGAAGGACATAAAAATGGTACGGTATTGTGAATACAACCTGAGCTCTAATTTAACCTTGGGGCAACAAAACTAAGTATAATTTGTTTTTTGTTCAACTTTATTCACTACCATGAAGCAAAACTACACTTATAACAGCAGCTTTGTCATTTACTTGCAGCTGATGCGACCTATCAGTTGTATGGATGAACTTTATCGACTGATGGCATCTTTCATAAAATCCAAGCGCACAGCAACCTGTGCTTATACAGCATGCAGTGCCTCTGGAGTTGGTCTACTGTCAATCTCTTCAGAACTCTGTAGCAGACTTGGAGCTTGCCATATCATTATGTGCAATAGTGGAGTTCACCGGTATGGTAATATATTCTCCCTCTTTTTTCTGATTTTATGATTTATTCAAAGCATTATATTTAGTCTGAATTTGTATGTAGAGCTGGTTTAAGTGGCTAAGAACTGTAAGTTGCAAGTCTCTGGTTCAAATCTCAACTTAACCCTTGGCACACTGCCTTTCTCATTACCTAATATGGGGAATAATATTGACTTTTTGGGGCTCTTCAAAGGGTTATCAATATATGCACAAGACATTGACTGGGGTCACACAATAGAATAACCTTCTGCAGCTTATAAAGCAGAGTGGCTCAACATGTCTTAACTAGCACTCTTCCTGGGTAGGTTAAAAGCCCAGTTGTCCTTGGCTTGTTCTAGGATTAATTAACCCACTGTGGTTCAATGTGTTTTTCAACCCTGAAAAATGCTAAGCCACAATCAAACTGAAAATTAAAAGTGACCCTTGGCCAAAGCTGCAAAAAGCATTTTTCCCTAGCTAATGACAGCTGGCAGGTTTCTCCATGCTCCTGCAAATGCTGGAGGGAAGAGCAGGATGGCTTATGCAGAAGCCCATTCTCCCTTTGGTATCAGCAGAAGCCCCAAAGACGCTGTCGAATTCTGTATTGAATGGGGTCTGGGGAGACAGCACAGCAAGGAGGAGATGCATAAAGCAGGCAGTGGCAGAGGATGAAGGAGGAACACAATTCCCTGCTGTGCTCAATTATCTGTGTGGGTAATTATGCAAACTCTCTCTCTCTGACAATACAAATAAATAGTAGGGTAGGATCTGGGCAAGGTTAAGCATTTTGCTATTGGTGGAAGACTTATAGCATCATCCTACACTTGTTTACAGAAGTAAGTCTTACTGAATTCAGTAAGACTTATTTATTTATTTATTATTTAAAACATTTCTATGCTGCCCCCATCACAACAAAGCCTCGGGGCGGCTCACAAAAGATACATACATAAATAATAACTATATAACAATTTTTAAAAATTGTTTAAAAACCCCCAGTGCATTCTCGGCTAAAAATTTAAAATCCTATTAATTCAAATAATTTAACAATTAAAATAAGTTTTAAATAAAAAGGTCTTAGCCTGGTGCCGAAAAACAAATAACGACAGCACCAGGCGGACCCCTCTGGGGAGCGCATTCCATAGATGGGGCACCACCGCAGAGAAAGCCCTCCTCCGGGTACTCACCCTCCTAATATCATTCACAGAGGGTTCCCGGAGAAGGGCATCTGTTGCTGATCTCAAGGGGCGGGAGGGCATATATGGATGCAAGCGTTCCGTTAGCTATCCAGGTCCCAAGCCGTTTAGGGCTTTATAGGTCATAACCAACACCTTGAATTGGGTCCGGACTTAAATCGGGAGCCAGTGGAGCAGACGGAGAACTGGGGTTATATGAGAACAACGCCCAGTCCCCGTCAGCAACCTGGCAGCTCTATTCTGCACCAGCTGAAGTATCCGGACCGTCTTCAAGGGTAGCCCCATGTAGAGCGCATTACAGAAATCTAATCGGGAAGTTACCAGCGTGTGTCACTGTTGCCAGGCAGTCGTTCTCCAGGAAGGGAGGCAGCTGATGTATCAGCCGAAGCTGAAGGAAGGCGCTCCTCACCACTGCCGTCACCTGAGTTTCTAGAGACAGCTCCGGGTCGAGGAGCACTCCTAAGCTGCAAATCCTGTCCCTCAGAGGGAGTACAACCCCATTTAGGACAAGGCCCAAGTCCCCCATCCCGAGGCCCGAGCCAGCCACCAACAGGACCTCCGTCTTGTCTGGATTGAGCTTCAGTTTATTAGCCCTCATCCAGCCCATTACCTCGGCCAGGCACCAGTTCAGCACAGCCACTGCCTCACCTGGATTGGTGGAAAATGAGAGGTAGAGCTGGGTATCATCAGCGTACTGATGATTCCGCAGTCTACACCTCCTGATGACCTCTCCCAGCGGTTTCATGTAGATGTTAAATAGCAAAGGGGACAAAATGGACCCCTGCGGAACTCCATGGCATAACTGCCATGGCGCAGAGCCATAGTCCCCCAGCACCACCTTCTGAAATCGGCCATTGAGACAGGAGTGGAAGCACCGCCATGCGGTGCCTCCAACTCCCAATCCTGCTAGCCTATTCAGAAGGATACCATGGTTGATGGTATCAAAAGCCACTGAGAGGTCCAGGAGAACTAACAGGGACACACTCCCCATCTCTCTCCCTGCACAGGTCATCGTACAGGGCGACCAAGGCAGATTCAGTGCCATAAGTGGGTCTGAAGCCGGACTGAAATGGGTCCAGATAATCAGTTTCATCCAAGAGAGCTTGGAGTTGTCCCGCCACCACCCGCTCTAGCACCTTGCCCAGGAACAGGATGTTGGCCACCTGTCTATAATTGGCGGCCACCTCTGGATCCAGGAATGCCTTCTTTAGGACTGGCCGGACTACCGCCTCCTTTAAAGGGGCAGGAACCCGGCCGTCTCTTAAAGAGGCATTGACCACCTCCAGGATCCAGGTCCCAATCCCGTCCTTGGCTTTCTTAAGTAGCCAAGATGGGCATGGGTCTAGTAAAGCAAGTGGTAGGATGTACTTGTCCAAGCACCTTGTCCACATCATCAGGCCGCAACAACTGAAATTCATCCATTAATTGTGGACTCAATGGTGTCGATGGCGTCTCCCCAGTAGAATCTGATTCAATAGCAGAGTCAAGCTCATGGCGAATCTGAGCGATTTTCTCCCTGACGACTTGGCAAAGTCGTCACAGCGGGCCTTCGAGGGTGGCACAAGATCTTTCTTTGGGCCCGGATGTACCAGCTCCTGCACCACCCAAAAGAGATCCACCAGACAGCATTGTGAGGAGGGAATGGAAACAGAAAAGAATTTCTTCTTCGTCATCGTCACTGCCACAGCATAGGCCCAATAATGGGCTCTTAAGTGTGTTCGGTCAGAATTACCCCTACGCTCTAGACATCTCCCAACCTGCTTCATCGCCCGTAATTCAGATGTATACCAAGGAGATGAACGGGCTCTGCCAGGTGGGAGAGGACGCTTGGGAGTGATCATGTCAATAGCCCTGGTCATCTCCTCATTCCACAGTTCAACCAGGGCATTGACAGGATCACCAGCCTTGTTAACCGGAAAATCCCCCATAGCTTCCAGGAATCCAGCAGGATCCATCCGGCTCCGAGGGTGGACCAATACAATCGGGTCCGCACCCTTGCAGAGGGAAAGGCCGCTCTCGAGCTCAAACCTTATGAGGAAGTGATCTGACCATGACAAGGGCGTCAAACTTAAATTCCTCACCCTCAGATCACCCTCTTCCTGCCCCATCAAGAAAACCAGGTCCAGAGTATGTCCACGTTCATGGGTTGGGCCAATGATGTGTTGAGACAGCCCCATGGCTGCCATGGAGGCCATGAAGTCCTGAGCTGCCCCGGTTAGAACTGTTTCGGCATGGAGATTGAAGTCCCCCAGGACCAACATCCTGGGAGTCTTCAACACCAGGTCCGAGACAATCTCTGTCAGCTCAGGCAGGGAGTCTGTTGGGCAGAAGGGTGCACGGTACACCAACAGAATCCCCAATCTGTCTCGGTCACCCAACACCAAGTGGAGGCACTCCAGCCCCGACCTTGAGAGGACAGGAAGCCCCACAAGGGAAATAGAAGCTCGATAAACCAGAGCAACCCCCCCTCCCCTCCCCTCCCCTCCAGGCATGGTCGGTGCTGGACCAGGTACCTGGGCGGGCACAATTGTGAGAGAGAAACATCCCCCCCTCACCCACCCAGGACTCTGTGATGCAAGCCAGGTCGGCCCTCTCATCCATGATCAAATTATGGATGAGTGTTGCCTTATTTTGGACCGACCTGGCATTAAGCAGCAGCACCGACAGGCCTGGAGGGCAGTTGACAAGTCTACCTGGAACCCGCCGGCTGGGGAATAACCAGAAAGAGGGACAGGTGTTAACCATCTGTCCCTCCTTCTTCTATGCTGACCCGTTAGACCCCCCTAACGCCATAACACCCATTGCCCACCAACACCCCGATGGTGGCACCCCCGCACTCCCCAGGCGACATCATAGGAGAGCACGAGATGCACCAATTAAAAACAATCTAAAACCAACAATTAAAACCATTAAAACATCCTACCATCATCCACCATAATCCACCACTAGCCCACAGATAAAACCAAACCACGGCCAAAGCACCTGGCCAGTCCAGCCCCCCGCTCGGCCCCCAAACAGCAACTGCCCTTAGGCTGTCGCCCTTTGGCTGCCGGCCCGAGGCCGCCGGCGCTTTGTGGCCCGCAGGGCCCCTCCCCGTGCCCCTCCCCATCCCAGTGTGTCTCTCACACGTGCCAGGAGAAGCAGGCAGAGCAGGGTCCTGGGCCGGTGGTCCTGGCCTCTGTGGCAGGGCAGCGGCAGCAGCAATGTCAGACGTTCCCAGGTGCACACATGTAGAAGGTTACTGATAGGGCTGGGAAGAACTATAAAGATCTTCCCATCAGTACCAACAATACTGGGCTAAGAAACGATCTAGGGTCCTGTAGTGCAGGATCAGCTTTGCATGCAGAATGTCCCATGTTCAACCCTTGGTATTTCCAAGTAGGGCTAGGAAAGAGTCCTGCCTGAAACTTAGAAAGCCACTGCCAGTCAGTGTTCACAGTGCTGTGCTAGATGGAAAAATGGCCTCACTGCTGCCTGTGTTTCTATGCTCCTGTGCTTGGTCGATGTAAAAGCAAAGGTACGATACCACATGGCATCATTGTAATTGCCTTTTGTCCTTCATATTTTATATGCTGCCAGCTGCAAATTGTGCTTTGTATCTGAAAAATAAATGTACCATGCTGAAACTTCTGCATATATTAAGCTTTGCCCACCATCACATCTTGGCCCAAATCTGCCAGCAAGTGCAACATGCTAGTAATGTTTCTATGGCAGCTGATACATAAAGAGGGCTATAGCCTTTGAAAGATACTTTCTTTGCCTCAGCTCTAGGAGAGAAACCTCTTGGAATATGAGCAAGTCAAGGAAGGAGA